CGCCCTAACCACCTGGCCATGCCGGTCCTAGTAGAGGAGTAGTAACTTTCAAATAATGAATATTAAGTTATATTTTACAACACAGCATATCTTAACTTTTACATCTTTCATTGCATGTAGAATTAATCTATATTAACTACTAGCAAAGCAGTGAGTTACTCTAGACATACACAAAGAGCGGTCATCGCTCGCACAACAAAACTAGCTGTGTGAGCTCTATGTATATGTGTGTGTGTTTATATATTTTATTTAGACTACCATGAAATAGAACATTACTTGCATAATGATCACCCATTATCTTTCATAAATCAGGACTTATATCATTTTCCCTGATTGAACTTACACCTACATTGAATATCGATCCAACTAATTATAAGCACTGAATTACATTAAAATACACAAATGAAACTACTTTTTTTCTCTAACGGATGTTGTCATTGAACAAACAAGATTACCTGGCATTTGTTATTTAGCGCACAGCTACACAATGGAATATCTGCACTCAGGCCACTGGGGGAATCGAACCCGGATTTTAGCATTCTAAATACGTAAACTTACTTAAGTTATATCAACGTTCGTAAGACGCTAAGTTCTTAGAATCGTGGTATTTTTTTCGTGGCGTTTCCCTGAATGTTTTGTTTGTTTGAAGCTAAGCGCAAAGCTATATAATGGGCTATCTGTGCTCTGCCCACCACTGGGGGCTTCCTTGAATGAACAAAACCGTTTCACTAATATTAAATAAATATAATAACAACTCAAATGGTCGTCAGAATCTTAATTTCGAAGAGTATTCTTCCTCTATTTTCATGCAAAGGTTTGCCATGGCAAGTAAGTTAATACGGTATCTTGTAAATAAAACTCTTAAAGACTCAGCTGGTCGTAATATCTTGAAAACAAATATATGGAGTATTTAAATAATGGGAATATTGAATCACTAACATCTTCATGTAAAACCTACCAACAAATTAAAACTGAATGATAACATACATTAAAAAAAAGTGGGGGGAAGTGTAAGAAAGGTTATTTTATTGCTATACTAGGGAGTAAATTAATATACCAACACTAAAAATAATTTGATATATATTAAGCTGTTTTTGATTAGTGGGAAAGAATCGAACAGTAACGTTAATAGGTTCTTGTTCGTACTTGTGGGACTAGCTTTAATTGGTAAAATCCTTAGTTATTTTTAATTATACTCAAAATGAAGTCTTTGTCTACTTTTAAAATTATAATTACGGGTTCTTCATATAATTTAGAATTCGTGTATAAAATAATTGGATGGACATTCAACTTAGTACTTCTTTACAGTTTAGTGACTACAAGTTATTTAATTGGTGAAATCTTCTAAAATCTTACGAAGGATTAAAACTTAGCTTTCGAATGTAGTTGCAGAACGGAGATAAACGACCTTCAACTATCTCCGTTGTGTCAACTTCATGTCCTTGGTTAAACTGTAATTTTTAATAAATGTAATACCAATTTATCTTATACGTTCCCTATATTCATCACCTTAAAACTTTGGTCAGTTTACGATTTATTTAATATTTATCTTTGATGTTGTTGTTGTTGTTTTTACTAAACATTTAACTTTAAAAATGTGAGTTCTAATATTATACTGTTATATTAAAGTCAGTTAATAAACAGAGTGAAGTTGAATTTTGACTTAATTATAATCTGCCACATCGATAAGCGAGACGGTAGTATACTGCATGTTAAAGATTATTTCCACAATTTCGCAATTTTTTTTTCTTTTTTGGTTTAGTATGTGTATGTTATAAGACAAAATAAAAGAGCCTATATACGTCTATTTGATTTTTTTCTGGCTGTTTCCGTAATTCACCTCTTCACGTTAGTTACTTATAAATATCTGCCAGAAAAAATAATATCGTATCAACCATATATGAAAATATATCTAGATGTACTTCCGCAGGGTCTCCAAAAGTGTTCCGTTTCAAGAGTAAATAAAACCAAAATTAAAAGTAACGAATATTTTTTTATTTCTTGCTTTTAAAGTTCATATGTCGTGCTGTGTTGTGCATAATTCTTCTTGTGATTCATGGCCTGCGCACATCTTAGTGGCGTCAAGACAATACAAATGGCAACGTTAGGCGTCCCTTATGTGACGTCATTTTAGTGTCTACTAACTGACTGACAGACAACACACTACTGTATTGTAGTGCAAGTGGTTAAAACAGGTGACCCCTCCGAGCTGCCTTCGGTCCCCTTTTCGGAGAAATATTAGTTTTTAGTAATATTAGTAATTATTGTCATCTAAGTCACATTAATCAAATATATACATAAACTTAACTGTACAATAACTTATACATTAAACACTATACATCAAACATTATACACTAACTTAGCTCTGTAAATTAACATCGAGTTTTGATTTAAGATGCAGGACTAGTTATAAACAACGTTTCAGAAATTTTAATTGTGTTAACGATACTAAAACGAGAAAACGTCGGTGTATACCCTCAGAAAGTCCATTAAAATATTTAAAATTATTTTTACAATTACTGTCTGGTATTTGAACATCTTAAATATGGTGTGTTCAACAAAGCTTAAGTTATCATGAAATACCTATTTTCTCACATTTTTATGTCAGAGTAAAGATTAAATAAAGCAGCTTCGATGATCTCCCGTTATTACTTGATGTACGTAATAAGCTACTATTCCCCTCCCCTGTTGAACTATAAAATATTAGATGTACTTCCGCAGGGTCCCCGAAAGTGTTCTGTTTCAAGAATAAATAAAACCAAAATTAAGAGTAACAAATATCTATATTTCTTGCTTTTGAAGTTCATATGTCATGCTGTGTTGTAGCCTACAGAGTGCATAATTCTTCTCGTGATTCATGGCATACGCACGTTTTACTGACGTCACGACAGTACAAACCGTAACGTTTAGCGTTCCCTATGTGACGTCGTTTTAGTGTATACTGACTGACAGACAGACAACACGCTACTGTATAGTGGTGCGAATGGTTAGAACAGGTGACTCCCCTCCAGGCGGCCTTAGGTCCCCTTTCGGGGAAGTTGTAAATCAATTAGTGGAATTTATTACATGTATTTCTCAGTCGCATTGCTTAGACTGCACCCACTAGTATTAAAGATATTTGCTTCTTTGTAGCCGTTTATTATATAGAATTGTAAATGATATTGTTATTGGTTTTAATAACATATTGTAAAGAAAATCAACTTATCTTGTACGAGTGCTATACCTTGTTCTAACTTTAATCTGATTCTCTCTCGATGTTTACACTTTATAATGCTTCAATACCCCCCCCCCCAGTGGCACAACGTTATGTCTACGGACTTACAACGCTAGAAACCAGGTTTCGATACCCGTGGTGGGCAGAGCAAAGATAGCCCATTGTGTAGATTCGCAATCAACCCTTCGAATTTCATTTTAAAAAGTAATCATAAAATTATTAGCCTTCCCCCCTGTGGCTTAGCGATAAGTCTGAGAGTTTATATGATTAAAAGTCGGGTTTCGATACTCGCAGTGGTCACGGCACAGGTAGTTCATTGGGTAGCTTTGAGTTTAATAACAAAAGCAACAAACTCCTGGTGCTTAGCGATAAGCTTAAAGGCTTATGCCGCTAGAATTTGGGATTAAATCCCTGTCGTGAATACATTGTAGATTATGCGTCTTTGCGTTTAAACAAACAAATGGCTAAAGAGTCGACACTGAATCAAGTGCCCTGTTGTCCTTTCTTTTTCTCCTGTGTTAATACTTTATAAGAAACTTCTAACATTCTATCTTAAACTCCCCCCCCCCCCCGATGATTCAGTGGTAAACCTGAGGGAATATAACGCCAAAAAATTAGTCTCGATACCAGCAGCGGGCACAGCACAAATAGCCCATTGTGTTTGATAAAAAAACAGTAATCTTAAAAAAATGTATTGGCTAAGCTTGTTGATAGATAAAAACAGAAAGTTAAAACAACGTTTCGCTTGACATCACCAGTCGCTTTCAGATGAACGTTATTGATTAAATGTTGTTTTGACTGTTACCAAGTTTAGCCGAATAACTTTTTCTGACCACGAATTAAAGAATTAGCAGTTATAATTAATTTTCAAAAAAAGGCTTAGAAGTATTTAAAAGTAACAGAGTGAATATGGGTTTCTTGAAACAGTTGAATGGAATGGAACGAATAAGACGTAACTTGCCATTCACTTTGTTCTTTGAGTTAATAAAAATAACTGTGGTATTTAAAAATTATGTAAACATTAAGAGTTGTGTCTGAAAATATTACAATTTGACCTCAGGTTTCTTGTTTCTATCTGTGTTGTACCCACCACGGGTATTGAAATTCAATTTTTTAGGGCTACAAGTCCGTAGACATACCACTGATCCACTGGGGGCCTTAACGTTAAAGTGTATTTTTAATTTGATTAAGATCAGCCCCTCTCTCGGTCTGTATTTGCCATGTCAATATTTATTACACTGTACACACGTTTTATACAGAATGTTTGATTTCAGTATTTATTACACTGTACTCACGTTTCATACAGTATTTTTGATGTCAGTATTTATTACACTATACTCACGTTTCATACAGTATTTCTGATGTCAGTATTTATTACACTATACTCACGTTTCATGCAATATGTTTGATGTCATGTATTTATTACACTATACTCACGTTTCATACAGTATTTTTATGTCAGTATTTATTACACTATACTCACGTTTCATACAGAATGTTTATTTCAGTATTTATTATACTGTGCTCAAGTTTCATACAGCATTTTTATTTCAGTATTTATTACACTATACTCACGTTTCATGCAATATGTTTGATGTCATGTATTTATTACACTATACTCACGTTTCATACAGTATTTTTATGTCAGTATTTATTATACTGTACTCACGTTTCACACAGAATGTTTATTTCAGTATTTATTATGCTATACTCACGTTTCATACAGATTATTTTTTTCAGTATTTATTACACTGTGCTCAAGTTTCAGGCAGCATTTTTATTTCAGTATTTATTACACTATACTTATGTTTCATACAGTATTTTTATGTCAGTATTTATTACACTATACTTATGTTTCATACAGTATTTTTATGTCAGTATTTATTACACTGTATTCAGGTTTCATACAGTATTTATTAAGCTATACTCAGGTAAGACGCACGCATGTGGTACATTAAACTAGCCGTCGCCAGTAATGTAAATTTTCATTGTCAAAAGATTAATAAAATAGGAAATTACTTCTTTGTTATTTTATTTATTCAACATGGAAATGAGGGTCTCATTATTACGAGACAGTTGTAGAAAACATGCATTTGTCTCTTCATACCGAATAAAAAATTGATTGTTAAATATATAGATATAATTATATCAAAACCCCACTAAAGAGTGAGTACTGGACCAAGTGTTGTTTTTGTAAAACAACCGTTGTGTTTTAGGTAATATCTTTATATCGTAAACATGTAAGTCGTTATGTATTATTGAATTCTAGTTCACTATTATCAACTTTAATTTCAAACATATAATAATAAAATTGGTAACAAAAACTCGTCTACCAATACGAAGTTTTAGGAATTCGCGAATGTTAGCTTTACGTTGAAACCTCGTTAATATCGATTTATGTGATGGACTAATAACTCACGAAAGTAAAAAAGGACAAACAATCAATCTAGTCGAATTTCTTCTCTCAAAATATTGCTTTTAAATATAAATTAGGCTATAAGTGAGAAAAAACAAAAAATATCGAAAAACTCCCGTTAGCTACTTAATGACTTTGACAAAACCATTCATTGATTACATAGGGTAAGAACTGTAATCGTTTTTGTTTGTTTTTCTTTTCGGATCAAACTTAATTGACTCGAAAATATTTTTATACATACCCCGTAAAGAATCATTATCTAATATTTTCAGAACGAGCAGTCTTTAAACAATTTTTTACTGAGTTTTATTCTGTATTGTTTTTTGTTTTTGTTTTCATTAAATAACTGTTTTATAAGTGTTATTATGTGAATTGAAATATACCTTGTAAAAAACTGTCGTATTAAATTTAGAGAATTTATTTTTATTCTGTAGCAAACTGTGATCTTTCACCACTGGGTCCATCGCCGCCAGCAGAAAGGCAGGTGTCAACAATGTGGAAAGGTAAGACGCACACATGTTTTACATTAAACTGGTCGCCACCAGTAGAAAGACAGGTGTCAACAATGTGGAAAAGTAAGACGCGCGCATGTTTTACATTAAACTGGTCGCCGCCAGTAGACATTTAGGTGTCAACGATGTGGATAGGTAAGACGTATGAATATTTTACATTAAACTGGTCGCCGCCAGTAGAAATTTAGGTGTCAACAATGTGGAAAGGTAAGACGCACGCATGTTTTACATTAAACTGGTCGCCGTCAGTAGAAATCTAGGTGTCAACAATGTGGAAAGTTAAGACGCGTGCATTTCTTACATTAAACTGGCAAGACGCAGTTGTAGTTGAACTGTATTTAAATAAATAAATATGTACAAAATTTGTGTAGCTTTATGCTAAAACAACAACATCAATTCCTGACTCTACGGGAAACTGAGAAGCAGTCGAATAACATGCAAAAGCCCTATTCGTTGTCAAAAGATTATTAAATAGGAAATCACTTCTTTCTTATTTATTTATTCAACATCGCTTGTGCTGCCTTTAGAACGCATGCGTGATTAAAAAGTTACAACGTATGATATCCACATCAGTTATCAAATATAGTAATACTCAATGTGACCACAGACATTTGTAAAATAATAGTGATCATTCGTCAGATGTTTGTAGTAGCTTATTATAGTAACGAAAAAAAAACACATTATAATCAGATATAATAACATCAAGAGCTACATAACATCAAGTATATACACGAACTGCTATCTCGGGCCGACTCCATAGCATTTGAACGAGAATGACACACACACACTGATTGTTTCACTTCAACATACTTGACAGTTGTGACTTTATGGTCCTGCATATAGGTTTATACTTCTTTCCCAACTTTGTAATTATTTGTATAAAGACGATGTGTTAAAAAAAGCTACTGCTTGATACAGGTTATTGTTTATCTTCATTTTCGTGTTTGTTTTGTTTAAGCACAAAGCTGTACAACGATCTACCTCTGCTATTCCTATTGCAAGAATCCAATCCCGAATTTTAGGGTTGTAAGCTATCAAACTGACCACTAAGCCACTTTTTTTTTTATTATCACTCAAAATATAAACTGTAAATTTGACGTTATCGCCCTTAGTGGCATTGCGGTATGTCTGCGGACTTACAACGCTAGAATTCGTGTTTCTATACCCGTGGTGTGCAAAGCACAGATAACCCATTGTGTAGCTTTGTGCTTAATTACAAACAAATAATCCTTGACGTTATTGGCCAAGTACAGCCTAGCCGTAGAGTGTACGCTTTGTTAGTACTGTCTAGCCCGAGGGTGTACGGTTTGCCACACGTTGCCAAAAGAACGTGCTACGTACATGGGGGTCCAATAGTGAGCTATATATACGACTGACAATCAAACATGAGTTGGCTGCAGATAGCCCTCCGTGTAGGTTTACGAGAATATTTTGAAACAAACAAATAAACTGTTACATCTGTAAGTGTATTAAAACGTCGAGTTTCTGTAAGCTTCAAAATAAACAAATTCTTAGTGCTATAAATAAGATAAAGCGAAACATAATAGGTTTCTTTTTGTAGCGCCATATCGAGCATACATTACAACTATAATGAATGTTTTAGCAACGTTTTAATTCGTACCCGAGGGGACAGCGTAAAAACACGTACAAACACACAGGTATAAAAAGTCTGTAATCTTTATTTCACGTGGCATCTCAGAATAAGAAATATTCTCACTGTGTCGCACTTTGATGATGTAGAATAACGTCAGTAATTACGTACTTTCTTCGAATGAAGTTCATTCTTTATTTGTGAACACAAGTTTGCTGAACCCCTTATTTCTTCAGATGCTATATGGTACATCAGAAGATACTCATCCTGCCGGGAGCACGTGCAAACCATAAGAAGAAAAGCTAAGTTTATAGATGTGGATGCAATGCTCTCTAAAGTGAATAAAAAATTGACTTATTCAATAACCCCCATTCCCTAGCTTATGGCACTTAACTATATGGTATTTTCAGGCTCGCGGTCTTACTTCAGAGTAGTAAGTCAGGGCCCGCTAATTGGAGGATCAAGGATACCGAGCTACGGAACGTGTTTATTCCCGAACTCGAACCGAATTCATCGTGCAAAAAATAGAAAAACGGAGAGAAGAAGACAAAAACCCAGATCACCAAAATGTTTATTTAGTACAGAATAAAACACGATACACTACAAAACACGATAACAGAGCAAGTGTTTCCTGTGAGTTGCGTCAGCTACCATTTTTAGTTCCTCTTACCAGCTCAAACGTAATCCCTCTTGCAAGTTAAACTACAGATAAATAAGTCCAAAAGAATTCTATTTAACAAAAATAACCCCGAACAAATAAAAAATAAAGTAAACAAAATAAGGTAAAATCCAAATGAAGCTTGGACTTTATTAAGAACTTAAATGTTGAACTTCTCGTTAAGCCAAGCAAAATCGTGATCCCTTCGAAAACCAGAATCTGTAATAACACAAAACTAACATCAAAAACACGAACGTCTAAAATAAGATCAACAGAGACCTAACTAAGTGTCTGTTGAACACTTAAACCCACGAAACTTCTAAAACTATCAAGCTTCTGGGTCGAACCTGACACGAACGTCTAAAATAAGATCAACAGAGACCTATACTAAGTGTCTGTTGAACACTGAAACCCACGAAACTTCTAAAACTATCAAGCTTCTGGGTCAAACCTGACACGAACGTCTAAAATAAGATCAACAGAGACCTATACTAAGTGTCTGTTGAACACTGAAACCCCACGAAACTTCTAAAACTATCAAGCTTCTGGGTCAAACCTGGCCTTATATGTGAAAACAAAATAATACATACAAAAGCAAATTTGCTCCATATGTTTGTAGCCAAGGGCGTGACTGCCCCCCATCTATTATCTGATTCACAGACACACACAAAGCGTTTCTCTAACTTCTTTACAAGTTATTTTTCTCGTCCGAGAATATGGATAACAGCCTATTACAAACTCACGGAGCGCTCTAGAGATAAAGTAAGTTGGGTAACTTACTTAAGCACATCACCGACTTCAAACTGAGAATGATGAAAAATAGTTTAATTATAAAAACACACATTAACTAAGTGACTAGAAAACACATAGTGCGATCCAGTACTTCATATTTCTTACCAGGTCGACCGGGCCATCCCTATTTGTAAAACTATTCACACACACCCTCTCTCCAAAAAGAAAAGAAGAAGAATTTAACCTTAATCGTATAGCACTTGAGAAATCAAAATAACTCACTCTTACCCCTGTAAAGCTTCTTGATTTACGATACTTACGCGTATACAAGCAAAAACACAATACAATACAAGGCATGATTTCAAACACACCTGCTCCCTTTGGGAGGGGAATAGTCTAACATACTGTGTTTGAAAAATAAAAAAATACCTGAAAAATACCATCAAGATACATGAAATACAGAAATAAGCCCTTTAACAATAATGCATATTACAAAATATACCCATTAACACCGAAACTCATCTATTTCAGGAAATATGAAGCAATAATATTGTTCTCTTTTAAAACAGCATAAAATAAACAACAAAGGAAACACTGAAGAAGGTGATTCAAAAAAACCTCATACAGAATCATCTACCTCCTTTATGAGGGTATAGTCATCACACATTGCTTCCTGAATACCCTCTAAAACACAACCCTTACACACACACAATTAAAACCAAGGAAACATCAAAACAAATGCCTTTAAAAATAAACTTCACACTAGCCTAGCCTAAACACTAAAATTACAAATGTACACTTTACAACCAAATCACTTTAACACTACCAGTGATAAAGCATACAGATATGCACTATACAAGTAAAAATATTTTAAAGTTACACTTTAAAATTACCTTACGTAGCAGCTAACAGAACCATAGTAAAAATAATAATTATGTATATAAAAAACAGAACTTAACCTAAGTACAAAAATACATATATTTATACAAATATATTATACAAATGCATATATAAAAAGTTCACCAAGTGGAAAGCTACAATTACTCACCTAAATTAGCTCCGATTGCACATCCTTCGATGCAACTGTGGATGATCTGTGCTTTGATGATCTGGTGGATAATTTCTCTGGCTCGCACAAAAGCCTTCCAATTTTATGTCGTATCCTCTCAGAAACAACACACTTCATTTTCCAGCTGTGTTGATAATTATCCGTGCTTCAGCAGGTGATCTACTTCATGATTATGTAATGCTAATGCCTCCATCCATCTGCAGTAACATTTTATAACCATGGTTTGTTGAGGGTGAGAGCTTTGTGGGACTGCTTTTTCCATCCCTACCTTTGGAGCTGATGTTGCAAATGTCATTGCTGGACGTACATGTGGTGGGCTGCCGTTGCAGCTGGTGATACTACTGCTGATGTAGCTAATTTGCCAGATGCCACTTAGGTAGTTACCCCTGGGGTCGTGGCCAAAGGAGCTGAATCTATGAAGGGACTTTCCCGTTTAACAGTTTCCCTCTGATGTTAAAAATGTGAGAAAGTTTTACCAGTATGAACGATGTGATGATCCCATCTTACGTAACCACGCATTCTATGCATTTTCACAAAATATTCTCCAGTCCGGTTCTGGTATTTCTTCAATCAGTGCTCCATTATCTCATCCACGAATCTTGTTCATTTAGATTTCTTTGACTATGAGGAAGCTGATTTGATATAGCTGGATGACTAAAACACTAGATATCGTGGGCTCATCTGAACCCATGATTCCTGGCTCTTTGTGTTCCGTGGTATGGGCCACTAATGGTGAGGAAGTTGGTGCTGTTTTTAAATGCTACAGAATCTAAAGGGTTAACCCCACAGTCAAAGCCTTCAAAGTCGACATGTCATATGCATTGCCAAATAATGCGTCTTCATCTATCAACTCTTTTGATTTTCAGCAGTGTTTGCAATAGGTTTCTGCAGAAGAGAGAGAATACTTGAAACTCCAACTGGCTGGTTCAAAAACTAAGATA